GTAAATAAAAATGCACTTACCTTAAGGGTGCAAGCGTCCAGGACGCGCAGCGATGCGAACTGATGTGGCAAACAAGCGGCTCACGACATCACGATACTTTGAAACGTTACTCATTGCTCGTTACTCGTGTTCACTTGTAATAATTTTATACAGTGAAAATGCAGATACTGCCACCTCGATTAATTAGTCGCCTCCATTAATTTACAATTGCAATTCATTCATAGAAATGTGTGAATATTTCCTATTATAAGCGGTCATCTAGCCCCACGCACAGTGTCCTAGCACATTTGGAATATTATCCTTTATTAGACAGTCACTAGTTCTAACGAATTTACGATTTTGATAAGTAACAGAAGTTACTGACGGATATTACTGTTAATTCAGTAAATCTCTGCACCAGAATACAACGTCTGATACATAGGTGGCGCCTCCTCTCTATTTTCGTTTTTTTTATTGTGCACAATGCTGCCGCACGGTACGCACATTACGTTATCCGGCGTACGGTAACATTACGTTAAGACGACATGCGATATGGGTTTCTTTCCATCACAAGTATACATTATGTTGTCAGGTACGGGCATATTGTGGTTTCTCCGCTCAACACCAGGTGAATGCCGGAGCAGTACCCTAACAAAAAACGGGTCACGGTCATCCCGCGATCTTTCCTACCTCTTCTTTGTCCTATCCTCACGCTTTCACTAACATGCACTTTACTATCACACATGCCGGGGGGCCTGTCGGAAGCTTAGAACTTGCCCCGCTTAGATTGGGGACATGGTCGGGTAGAACCGACACTTACAGGAATAATGACCCTAGTAGTTAACGCAGTCGTAATCACTAACAATCAATGAATCAATGCGCGTATTAAACACTGCGTTAAATATATTTAACGCCGAGTCATATTTTAAAATCATGTAATTATCTACTAAAACATTTTATCGCCAAAGCGAAAACTAATAGAAAATAAATATGAGAAATAGTGAGGAAGGAATTAAATGGGTATCGATTGTATTCACAGTATTACAATACCACGGTTGTCATTAGCTCGTGCGTCCTCATTGTCACCTCCCCTCGGACAATTTACATCGGCCATCGATCGCTGCAGGGCGCTGCGCCCCGCGCGGCATCCCAACTAGCGGAAGCCTCGCGGTGCACCAGTTCGCAATAGACGGCCCACGCAGTTCCACGGGTATTGACCGCCGAGTCGATCGTAAATCGTGAATTCCGTAAGTACGCGAGACTGGGAATGCGACAAGCCTGGAGAGGCAGTCGTGTTTAGTCTTCAGCATTCTGTGATTATGACGTTGCAAGTAAACAAATTGCCTGCGATAGCGTACGTCTGGCGAGTAGATCAAAATTTCGAATTTCTTATTACTATCTACGATACGTAGAGTGAAGAAAGTATTTAGTAATATCTGCAGGCTATTTGCTCTCTTTGGAGTACTAAACAAGCATCTGGAGGATATGCGTTAATAAAGTTCAGGAGCCCGTTATTTTTTATACAGAACTTTTCTTTTCTGGTATCGAACAATCAAAAATCTGTCCTCGTGCGTTAAACACTCACGTATACTACTCGCATTGAATATCCACTCCGTACATTCATAAAAAATGTAGTTGAATTTCAGGCCTAGAGCAGAACGTATGAGGTGTCCACCTCAGCATAGGTTGAGTAATAATTGTTAAGCCTAATATACATATGTGTAATTTTTATTTTAAACGGATATGTGTAACATAAATGATAAGTTCATTAAAAATAACCTGGAGTAAGCGCATATTGACTATGTTGAAAACTAATGTGTGCCAATACCACTAGTCTGGGCCATAAACCACGTATCAGTATGGGAGAGATAATACATTGTCTTTTGAGAGGATCGTTATTTGGTTTTTATAGCCGAGTACTTTATGTATGATTACGAGTTACTTTACTGCGATATGTAGGCTAAATAGACATTACATATCCTCTCATGAGCAGACCTTTTTTCTAAGTCATACAGCTAAATCAGGCATGATAACAAGAATAGAAATCGCTTGTGACGAGATAAACTACGCTACAGGGGAAAAAATGCATCACGAGAAAAAAAATTGTATAAAGCGAAGCAAAGGCATCTTTTTACTTTCAAACACAACAAAATAGGTCGTTATTAATTCCTTGTTCACCATAGATCTAAAACGAAAAAAAGGCAAACTTTGTCTACAATATCGGAGCGAATGGCATTCACGCAATTAGTGGAGAGAGAGAGAGAGAGAGAGAGAGAGAGAGAGAGAGAGGGAGGGAGAGAGAGAAAGAGAAAGAGAGAGGGAGAGAGAGAGAGAGAGAAAGGCCCTTCCAATTTACCTCGTAGATCCTTCCAAGCGAAAACGCGTTTTCGCGCACCGATCTATCGGACGTCCGTCCTCGTTACCTGAGAGAAACAGTTGCCGGCGCTGACCAACGAGCCTTCCGCCAATCAGCGCGTCCGCTCCGAAGCACAAGGGCCAATGCGCACGGCGGGCGGAGCACGAGCAGCGCCGGGGGCCTCTTTGAATTAAAAGATATTTTAAGGCCTCGCTTGAGGAAGTCGTGGGGCGGAAGATAATAATGGTCCCATTCTATGCCCAAATGCGATCCGATTCTCGGAAACGGGTTTCGTTAGAGTCGAGTTTGGAGACAGGTCATAAGATAACGGCCGTCTGCTTGGCGTGGCTGCATGGATTTTTTAACAACCTGATTTAATCCAAAAGCAGATATTTTAATTTTTTAATTTAATTAACATCATTTTCGATTAACAGAAAATAGGAATTGTCCATCTTTAAAACTAAAAAAGGAAAACTTCATTGTGAGAATTAAAACTCGTCAAATTAAAACCAATAGTGTTTACCTATACATACAAATTTCCCCAATCAGGCCGATGTATCTCAAATCATTTATCGCTTTTTCTATCTGATTTTTCTTACTACCTCTCCCTACCGGTCGATCATAAATTGTGACTCATCTATCTTATGTGGCAGTATAGTACATCGATTGATGCATCGCATGCAATTTTAACATAGCTTTCAGTTATTTTCAATATTTGATGCATTTTTGAACTCTGTTGGACATAATTTCACTCGTGGAATAGTCCTATTAAATACCACTCGTACACTCTTCGCTTCGCAGGTCGGGAATTCACCGACAATTTCCAAAGCAGTCGTGGCATTACCTGTGATAAATGTCACATAATTCTCAGTGTTCTTTTGTATTATCATGTTTTATTACTATTAAAATGTATGTAATATAATCCATGTACGTTTAAACATAACGGAACTGTTATGTGAAATAAAATAATATCAAGCTCTGAAAAATGGATCTGTCGATACAGTCAGAGTATTGAAAGCTTTTCTCAATGGTGATCACCTCATCAGTAGTACTGTGTAGAGTTGTTAGCAACTTTCTTATTGCTCCCGTCGCTACCGTCAGCTCGTGATAACCCTTACAGTACATTAGTAACATTTAGTGCTATTTAGTGAATATCTCACAATAATTATATTCTTCTTTTACGATTGGTTCCTATTTTCTTTCTAACATAATTTTTCAGAACCACGAGTTTACATTGATCATGAAATATCTTGGTAGGATAAAATTTGAAATAAATTAATTGTTTTGTTTTTCTTTCCTCTAATACGAGAGACCACTTCTCAGCTGGATTCAGTTTATAATAAAATCCATTATATTATTTTCATTACTTTCAATAGTTCAATTGACTTTTTGAAGTTTAGCTTTTTTTCCATTGAGCACACAAGATAATATTGCGATATTGACATGAAAAAGATTAATAAATAATAATAATAATAATAATAATATAATCAATAATTAATTATAATATAATAATAATTAATAATAATGTAAGCAATATCGAAATATCGACAGTAAATAACCACGTTTTTATCATTGCTTTCCCAATTACGTTCCCCACATCTTGCTAACTACGTATAAACATTTGGTAATTAGATAAGACGACACCGAATCTATTCCCATATTATCTCTGAAATCCGGACGTCCCTTTCACTCGCTTCCCCGCGAGAGAGAGCGTTCGCCAGAAGTAAGGTGCGCCAGGTAGGAGACAGTGCAGGGGGTAGTTCGAGAGCCGAGCGAGGAGTCGCTATTTACAACTCCCCAGCGGCCTAGCCTCGCCGCCCGCGCGGCGCTCGAAAACCGAACTTGCACCGAATTCGCAACAAGAGCGATAAAACAATGGCGGTCGTGCAGCCGTCGCCGGAGGGAAGCGCGAGGGTGGGGGCGGCCCGCGCGCCATCCACCCCCCCCCTCACATGCCCTCGCACCCTCCCACCGACGTCTGTTCCTTAGGCCCCAGGCTGCGAACGAACTGTGAAGGTGCGAATGATCAAATACCGCATGTCCTGTTTCGGTTGCTCTCCGGAGAACAAGGCTGATAACATATCAGGCACCCACTACTACTTTCTAAATGCCTGAAAAGTCTTTAAACACACAGTGAGGGGGCAAAGATGAAATATTGCATTTTTTAAAATTAGGTTTTTGGTTATCTTTTGAGGGCGATAATTACGACGAGGCAAGCATCCTTCTATTTAGTACTCTTTAGTTGCCAGGAGGCAATGAAGGCAATTGTAGCTTCTGTCACGTGATATCTCAACAATTAAAGTTGTTTACAATTGTTGAGATGTCAATTTTTGGTTGCTCTATCAAGTACACAAGGGTTATACGTCCGACCAATGACCAGTCATTTGTGCCTTCCTTTTTCTACAAACCGTAAATATGGAATATTGTAATTAAAATTCGTCTATTTTATCGATATTAATTTTTCCAAAACTTTAAAATACTTTGCGATGTAGTTTGAATTTTTTTCAATTATTTAAGCGTTATCACAATAGTTTGTCATGCATCTTCTGTTCACATCAATTCTAAACGCACCAATAATGTTTTCAAACGCAAAGTATTGGTTTGCCGATAATTTCATTTTATTTCAATACAATACAAATTTTGAATCTAAATATTTATAACAAAGCTTTGTAATTAACTATTATTTTCCTTATATACAAGAAATAAACAAAATGCATATACAAAAATTATACATGGATTATAACAATGTTTCTATGGAACCAATACACCTTAATGTCTTTACAAAATAAAAAAGTTATTTTCTCGAATAATATACATAAATATTGAAAGATATTCATAAACATATGACAATATATTGCTAAACTTTTTTACTATCACCAAACGTAGCATGCAAGTGAAACTAAACAAAAATTTACAGACAATTTTCAAGAGTTGATTACTTTGTTGTATATGCTTAAAACTGGAAAATGCGTTGAATCTTGAAAATTTAAAAATTGAGAATGTATTATGTACGAAAATATTTTAAAATATAATTTAGTACTATCACAAATATTTGTTGTGTTCACAAAAAGACATTGCGTATTTTTTTTTACATTCTGAATACGTAAAACGGAATATATTGGAATATATTACCTGTACACTTGTTACGTCGTAAATAATTAATAAAAAAGTAACTCCATCTCAATGTTTCTGAAATAAACAGAAACAGATGGAATACCCGTCTTTATCGAACGCCACAATTCATCATTTTAGTCATCTGCGATCCTTTGAAAATAGTTTTTTTCACTTAAGTCTCTCTTCATATGAGAGAGTCAGTCCTTATCGTATACAGAAACACTGCAAAAGGGTTGTGAATCAGAAACCAGTTCGCTCTGGCGCCAGGGGAAGTGTCTTTGAGGGCTTCGTACGAGGTTGTGGATGAAGGGAAACACTTTCCGCTGGGACAGTCGTCGTGAGAAGGCTGCCCTCGAAGGCCTGGGCTTGTCACTGGGAGCGGCAAGCAAGAAAACCACGGCCGGCCGCTCCCGGGGCGACGGAGGGGGGCTACACAAAGTATTTCACGGAGACCTGCCGTCACGTGGTCTGGCGCCACGAAGACGAAGCCAAGGCCGCCAGCAGCAGCAGCGCTGCCATGCGGGCGATGGGCGCAGCGCCGGAGTGCAAGCCGTCACGTTGCATGGCTTCCGTTCGCTCGCCTGCAACATGAAGTACACAGAAGAATGAGTAATATGCATAAAGAAAGTATATAAATCACGTTTTAAATTATAAGTTGGTAGAATGCACAGAAAATTACTACCAAACTTCCTTAAATACAGATGTTTTTAACATTTTGTAGAAATGGGTGCGATGCCAAAATTTTCACGTGTGTAACTTCGTTATAAGAGATTTTTCCTTATGTTCAGTGACAAAAATATATATTTGATCCCCAAAACTAACCCTGAAGTTCGTAACATATCTTTTCAACCACCCGACAGGAAAATTCTTCCACAGCGACAAACGTAATGTTCTGTTGCATATTTCCAAGCAGCGTACCGAATGATCACTGAACATTACGCGTGAAGGCCTGAAATTCAGTTTGAGAACATCACAAATTATACACAATGTATCTTAATTATTCCGACAAAGATCTGTACATTAAAAATAACTACTAGAGTTAAATATCACATACTTTCTCGCATTATTTCTAAATTTGTCTATTTTTGAAAATTCAGAGATTTAAATAAAAATGAGACCCGCCCACTGTTTTAATCGTTCTTTCTCTCTGTGAGAAAAAACTGAAGAAGAAATTTGAAGTGGTTTTGAGAATTTTTTTAATTAAAAGAAGTTTAAATTCAAATTACGCGAAAATTATTCATTCGTTCAAAAACTGACCCATGACCATTCTCAAAGAGCTCAACATCAATAGAAGTTATCTAACGCAAAAATCTCTATCATCAAATCTCTATTGCAGTTGTAGAAAGACGTCCACTTATACAAGTTTCGAAATATCACGGATTTCAACGAACATGAGACCTGCATCATTCTCTTGAGCACCCTATGCTCTGTCCGAGGACAAAGTTTAATAAAAGTACGTTTATAACTCCCAAAGACTCGAGTCCTTTCTGATAGATCCAGGAATATAAATTTTGGAGTAATGCGGCTGAACTGTTTAGGCTCTAGAAATGACTAGAGGCGGACAGACGGAGAGGCGGACAGACGGACAGTTGCTGTCAAACAATTTTTCGTCATAAAGGACCCGTAAAACGAAGATTATGCCTACACAAGGTGTTAGAGGAAGTAATTTACTCTGAATATGAACATCCATTTTCTCGTTACCTGAGCCCGAGAATAAGATTTTTCCTATCAAAAATTCGCCGTTTTCCGACGCACAATTACAATATTTTCTCTTGATACGAACTAAGGGTTAGAAGGTATAATTACAATAATGGTTGACAGTTCTGCAGGTGACAGGAATACGTCGTATTCTAAGCAAAAGAGAATCAGAAGCTGTGACATTTTCACAACTTAGTCACTTCAAATTATAGAACAAAAGAATCGCATGGCTCGAATGTCGCAGTTAATCAGCTGGCCGCCTGTTGAAGTGTCGAGAGTGAGGTCAATTGCGATAAAATACGTTGCGTGAGCAGGAATTGTAAGTAGCGTGTGCTGCTACATGGGTTGTTAATATTAATCGCAAGTTGTGACATGGTACGCCAAAGAGCGCGTAGTACAGGGCAAAGCCGTGGCCTTCCACGCCCTACTGTCAACCATTTTTTTATTTGATTCGAACCATATCGTTATCTGACAACGTTTTCCTTTGAAACTGTATGTTTTCGACAAAACCCAACTTCTTTGCTATATCCGAGCTTAGAGAACAATACTCTAAAACGCTTCGCGGACATACCACCTGAGCTGCGACACGTTGAGATGTCAATAAGCATGAAGTCGATTGCAAAATAATCCCCATGCATCAGCGGCATGATTTTAGCTTCGAGTAATCTGGCTCGTCTCTTCCTCCAGATGTCGTAACCACCACTCCAAGGTTCATCGCTGTGCTTTTCCTCATTGTCTTCCTCTCTTCAACACAGAACAGCTGCATTGCGAGAACTCGGGACAGCGCTAAAGAGTGTCATTTCGCATCCGAAAACAGCAAAAAAGCCCAGTTTTCTTGAAAAGTCTACATAATTTTGTTGATGGATATGATGTCACGAGTCCTTAGTTGCATGAGATACCCCACCTAATTTCCATTGACAAAAAGTGATAATTGACTCCAAACATGTCTTAGAATATATATTTAATTCTAAATAATCATCTCGTCTCCGTATTTATTTGTTTCATCACATGATATCTATTACATACTGTGATTTACTGTGTGTTGTGATATAGCGTGTAACCATCATTAATAGGCTCCGCCTGTATACTAAACAAATCGGAAAAAATTTATACTTTGACCTTGAAATATAAATCACTATTTTAATAATATGCTCAAATTGGGATCGTTATTCAGTGTTTATAAGGCATAATACCTTCACACGGAGGGCATGTGTGTAAAAAAATCGGAGTACGTTTAGTCTCATCTTCTTCACCCTACAGATCATAGCTCACGTCGTCTTATAGGTTCATCCTTAAGCAAGCCTTTACTTCAGGTAGCTTTCGCACGGCCCAAACGAGCCTCGGGCAAAATACTCGGCGCACCCC